TTAATTTTCGAACAACCAGAAGTAGCCCGTTCACTACTTAGGTCCCACAGTTCGATAGAGTACTAATTCAGCGGTGGTCCAAATTCCACATGATTAGACTAGAAAAACGTAGGTAATTGTGCACCCCTTTCTGGGTGGGACTATTAACACAATAGCGGCTATCCACAATACCACGTCCCGGGGATGTACCCGAGTTAACAAGTAGCGTTTACGGACGGGGACTTTTATTTGGAAACATATACTCCCAAGCACATCAATTTAGCATTTATTCTAAGTGCAATAACAGTTATCAAAACATAACACAACAACCCGACTAAGCAATTCTTTAGTCCCAAAATGTCACAAAATAAAAACATGCAAAGTTTGCTCAATCTCATACTTTTCCCCCCATAAAATAAATAAAAAGCAGTAAAAGTGGGGCCGTGAAAACTCACTAGTTTGATGAATATCCAAAGGTTCCCTTTAGAAGCTTTCTAGGCTCGCTCGAACTTCCTGACAAACCAAACCAATGCTTTATTACTTACAGTTTCCTGCCTAAGGTAGAGTAAAGTTGTTCTAAACGCAAAGCCATCAAGTGTCTATATAAAATAAAGCCGATATTTAAATATTTATTAAAAAGGAACCTTCCAAAATCCCATTAATGACATCATTTTAAGTCATCCCAAAACAATGATGACAGCCGCCAATCACCAAAATCAAGATATTTTGAGTGGGTTTAAAACTCTTTTCAAAAACTCTACAACCTTGAGCCACACGCCTCCCAAAACCGATTGCATGCATGCAAGATTCTATCATCCGAGAATATGATCAGACCTCGCATGCAAAGATTTTTTCCTTCTTTCTTAGAGATTAAATAACATGGGTCACAGATTATCATCTCAACGAAGACACTTGAAGGTCTTTGATTAATAATCTCTCCTCTTTAAATCTCATAAATATTTCTTAAATAATCGAGAAAGGGAAAAAGATGAAAACTTTCGGACTTCTAAGAAAATAGGACAGCTCTAAAACATACCTTTTCTTGACAGAAAGCCTCACAGACTCAAGAACAGCAAAAGCTTTTAAGTTTACAAGGAGATTAGAACCGGGTGGAAGGTGAKGGCGTTAGAAAGAGAGAACAGAAAGCTGAAAATTTGGAGAATGAATATTTTCAAAGAGAAAAGGAGTATTTATATGGGGCTTTTTGAGAAGAAATTGGCTGACCTCTAAAAGCCCAAGCCCAAGATATTTTTATTATTTTTTTTTAAATAATAAAACCCCACTATTTTAACCAAACAAAATAATTTGCCAAAAGATTTTAAAAAAAAAACTCCACTCTTTTAAGTTAATTGGCAACTAAATATAAAAATAATGGAACTTTGGAATTTTTAAATTTTTAAAGAGAACGGAACTTAAATATCTACTTTATTTTATATAACATTCTAAGACTAATTGGCATTGCATAAACTAACTTGGTTAGCTACCCGACGAAATGTGATCTAACAAACTAATCTTGGGAATTAAGCAAGATGATCTCTAATCATCAAAGTTAAATCCTAGAAAAACTTAGTTTTCAATAAAGATCCTGAAATAAGGTACTAACCTGAAATTCAAAATGCAGGATTGTCACATAAAGTCCGGACAACACTTGTCCCTTTTGTCCGATTTACTAATCCGGACAACTCATCGCCCAAGACTTGTCCGATTTAACACTTGAAATTATTC